GGGGTTGTTTTGTTGTTATTTTTGCTTGTTTGTTGTTGTTTTGGTTTTGTTTTTTGTTGGGGGGTTTTCGGGGGGTACTGTGTGTTTGTCAATGTGTGAGAGAGAGGGGTTTTTTTTTCAGTGTTTGTGTGTTTATGCATGTGTACAGTATGTATGCATATATTATATTTGTGCTTTGATGTCTGTGTGTAGTGTGTGAGAGAGAGGGGTTTTTTTTCAGTGTTTATGTGTGTTAATGTATGTATGTGTACAATATGTATGCACCATGTATGTGGGAAGAGTGTTGATATAATATGCGTATAGACTGCTCAGTGTTAGACTTTGTCATATGTGGGTTGTTGGCGGGTGCTCTTGTGTGGTTTGCTCCTTCTTTCGGTTCCTATAAAACATCTATCATCCTTATCTCTCCTCCCTCCTTTTTTTTGTGTTTGTTTCTCTCTTGTGACACATCTATTCTTCGGTACTTATATGACCTTATGCAGTTGCGAGTGCTGTAAAACTCTACTAAAACAAATTATCTCTCCTCCCTCCTTTTTTGTGTTTGTTACTCTCTTGCGACACATCTATTCTTCGGCACCTATGTGACCTTATTGTTTTGCAAGTGCCGTAAAACTCATACTAAAAATAAACTCATGTTTATATGTGGCTCTTCCCAGGTGGGTGCACCAGACGTCGTGGCGCATGTACTTCCTGTTGCTGGGCCTGTACATACTGCAGGTGGTCACCATCACCGTCTACGTCCGCAACGTTGACCACAGCATTTTAGAAGATGTGAGTGGGTGGTTGGCGGGTGCTCCGGTGTGGTTTGCTCCTTTTTTTCTGTCAAATGTCTATCGTCTTTAACTCCCCTCTTTCTTTTTTATGTTTTACAAGTTGCTTTATTCATTATGGCTATATTTTTTTGTGTTCTTTATCATTATCATTATTGCAGTATATATATATATATTTAGCAAAGGTGAAAAGATCAAACAAATCCAACAGTTTAAATATTTAGGATATATGATAACATCTGATGCCAAATCCTCCGCAGAAATAAAAAGGAGAACTGCAATGGCTAAGGCTAGTTTCAATAAAAATGAGCCCAATCCTGAAAAATAGAAACATATCAATGAACACCAAAATGAAAGTCCTGAAATGCTATGTTTGGTCAACCCTTCTATATGGCTGTGAATGCTGGACAATCACTAAAGACAGTGAAAATAAAATACAGGCAACAGAAATGTGGTTTCTTAGGAGACTGCTAAGAGTATCGTGGAAGGAAAAGAAATCAAATGAGGTAGTGCTTGATAAAGCCCACGTGAGACGCTCAATGTTAAAAACAATCAGGAAACGACAAATGCAGTTTTTGGGACACCTGAATAGACATAAGGGTCTTGAACATCTAGCTCTCACTGGCAAAATTGAGGGCAAGCGAGGCAGGGGTAGGCCCAGAACAACATACTTAGGGAACCTAAACAAATGGGTAACAGGGAAAAATCAGGGAAACGTAGCTTTTCTGAAAGCATCCGAGCAAAGGAATGAATGGAAAATCATGATCGCCGATGTCTGTCGCAGATCTGGCACTGGATGATGATGAGTATATATATATATATATATATATATATATATATATGTGTGTGTGTGTGTGTGTGTGTGTGTGTGTGTGTTCTATTGTGTCGTATCCATTTTGGATATTATTATATGTTGTTATTACAGTCATCATTATTAGTAGTAGTAGTATTAGTATTAGTATTATTTTTATCAGTATTATTATTATTATTATAATTGTTTTTATTGTTCTTCGTCTTATTGATATTATTATTATGACTACAACATGTTTGTTGTTTTGTTTGCCCCAGGAGCTGTCATTCACCGAGGTCATCCTGCCCACCATCCTTATGTTCCTGCTGTGTCTCATCCACTCCCAGACAGTCCTGGCTCACATCACCCACAAACCGCCCAAAAGGTCAAAGGGCATCTCAGGGTGAGTCTGGTATTTATAGTATTTATAATAATAGATAGCATTTCGCTTCCTTAGAATTATACAAAGTTCTATCTGCTCAGTACCTAGTTTTGAGATATTTGAAGTAAAAAAGTTCGAGTTTCACAAAGCGTCAAGCCTTTTTTAATGCAGTTCTTTGAATATCATGATAACGACTCAAAATAATCTTATGAGTTTGGCAGAGCATATTAAACATTTGGTTCCTGACCTCATGATCTTAGTGACTCAAAACAACTAAAAATGCCACACAGAACTTTGTAATTCTGAGGTAGCATTGTGTAGCACAAATTCCTGCTCAACAGCACACTTTCTACACTTTACAATCTTTGATGACCGGATAGCATTCTGAAACAATGTCAACTTCCTGGGACGCATACACAGAGTAAGCTGCCATTTTAGAGGGGCTAAAACACTAACATTAACATACTGACAAGATCTTTCGCTGTCTACGGCCGGGTACCCATTCCCACCTGGGTGAAGTAAGGAAAATTCATGTAAAGTGCCCTATCCCAAGGATACAAACAATGTCAAGCCTGAGGCTCAAACCCCTGAACCCGCAACCTCACGATTATGAGTCCAGTGTTCTAACGACTAGACTACCGACGTCACAGTATCACAATCAGAGACTGGACCAAAGAGTGTGAGACTGGAGGGAAGAGAGAAAGCAAGGACTTCAAGGGGTCAAAGAGATTTGGAAAAGCAAGAAGGGTTTAAGATAATGTGTCTAATTGAATGCAGGAAAAAATAGAGGTAATTTGATTAAAGTGGAATCTATCAAGTGGGGAACGTGGAGATTTTCTTTATGACAGGTTTCAATTCAGGGAGGTTCAACTTAAAAGTCTGTATGTTTAAGTATGTCTGTATGTGTCTATCTGTGTATTAGATGTATGGTACACTATTGCTTCCAAATTTCCCAATGGACGTTAATAAAGTTGGATATATTTTCTCTCATTTATTGAACTTTTATTGCAAGTACTGGCACATAACTCATCTTAAACACAGAAAGTGTAAGCCATTGACCGAGGGTATCAGGTTGCTCTTTTCCACTCAGAAGTTTATAAAAATCCATTTTGGGCCTTCCCTCCCTCTTAAAAAAAAAGAAAACAACCCAAAAGAACCGAACCCTACCCCTTCAAGAGTTTTTCCTCCTCTGATGTCAGTTTTGAAGTAAGGAGGTGTCAAGTTCTTCTTTCTGCCTGATGCATCTATAAATAGAACAAACATTCTTAACAACATTGTAGTAAAAAAAAGAAGGAATTATGAGGTGATCTGTACCCAAGCAGCCAAGAGGAACCTATGCACTGGGACCACTTAAAAGAAAATATGATAATCTCTTTTTTTTTTTTTTTGAATGAGGAGGAAAAACATGCATATATATTACACTGTGGATGTATCATTTGATACTTGTATCATATACATATCTCATAGATGTAAATATGCTTTCACACACCGCACAGACTTATCAATGTATTTGGTA